GCAATATATATCCCGTTAAGTAACACAAATTTACCTAACCATATCCACTTGGATATGTCATTTAGGGGCTGACGTACTGGGTACTTCTGGTTATGAGACCCAGAGACTTTAAGGAATATCAACATCGGCTGCCGAGAATGTTGCTTGAAGATATTGTCTAAGTCTGAAAGATGATGCAGACAAGCGACTGGAAGCCACGTCTTTATATTTGGGTACACCTTCGCTCGGAGAGCGTAAGAGTGACATCTTGTACTATACAAAACAAAGGTAAAACACAATAATAATAATAGTAATAATAATAATAATAATAATAATAAGAAGAAGAAGAAGAAGAAGAAGAAGAAGAAGAAATTAAAGTCAGTACTGAAACGATATAAACCACATTAATAATGGGCTCTGAAAAATACCGAGGAAGATTCTTAAATGCTAATAACCATTATTATTATTATTATTATTATTATTATTATTATTATTATTAATAATAATAATAATAATAATAATAATTGCTCGTTTCCGCGTGCAGCTAGAGTGGCTAGTTAATCCCTGTTGCAGACGTCTGTTCAGACACATTTGTGTTTCTTCAATATCTGCAAAGCTAATGAAGCAAGCAGATCCTACATTTTTTTCGGAGATAGCGCACCGTCTGATGTGATCCAGCAGTTGATCAAGGCCAGTAGGATCAAAGCCTCGATCACGATAACTCCGTGCCAGTAAAATCCATCGATGACTTCCAAACATTTTCATCTACCCAATTTCATTCAAAAAGCTTGGGTCAAACTCTGGCATGCCTCTCAGACGCTTCACAAAAAAGCGACAGACGCTGAGATCGTCACCCTAGTCGCTGATATTATGGATAATTCATTTCTTCCATATATCGTTCCTGCTGAGATTCGAACCCGTGATTCATACTCGGAATACTAATTAGTGTGAGCATCTCAACGCATTCAATGATAAACGGCGAGATCCGTACGAAATATAATTTTTAACCGAAAACGAAACAGCAAAAGAAAAAGAAAAAGAAAAACATGCCTGTGGGATTTCCAGATTAAAATGGATAACTCACTCTCGGCCAGAATTCCAGATCTAATTATTCTAAGAACATGAGTCAGATAAGGCGATTCACTGGATCAGCAGATCGTATAATAAAATCGAAAGAAAGAAAACACCGGATAAATATCTGTGCTTCTTTACACAAATGAACACAGTTCTACTGGATTGAGTCATACATATTTTCCATTTTTGGGACCCAATTATAGTAACTAATGTATAGTCTTAGTTAATAATCATACGCAGCTGTTAAGAATAAATTTTGAGTTCACTAACCTAGGACAATTTTGAGTTCACTAACCTAGGACAATTTTGAACACACTAACATAGGACAATTCTGAGTTCACTAACCTAGGACAATTTTGAGTTCACTAACCTAGGACATTTTTGAGTTCACTAACCTAGGACAATTTTGAGTTCATTAAGGTAGGAAAATTTCAGTTCACTAACATTGGACAATTTTGAGTTCACTAACGTAGGACAATTTAGAGTCCACTAACGTAGGACAATTTTGAGTCCACTAACGTGGAACAATTTCGAGTTCACTAGTGTAGGATAATTTTGATTCCACTAACGTAGGACAATTTTGAACCCATTAACTTACGATAAAATGCGGTGGATTGACAAAGATAAATCCCCACAATCGAACGCAAAAGCTGGGCTCCATGGTAGAAAGTTAATGTTGTTTGTGTGATAGGGTCATCGGTTAGAGTTCTTAAAATGCAATAAAACACTAAATTCATTCTTAAACTTCCAGAAGCTGCAACGAGTTCATAAAGATTTGGTTGAAAAGCACTCTGCCCTCATCAATAAGAAATATATTATTCACCTCCATGACCGAAAGCCACATGCAATAAAAATAACACAAGAAACAAATTTGGATCTTCGGTTGGTCTGTTCTACTTTACCAGCCATAATTACCTGATCCTGCAACAACTGATTATTACGTTTTTCGGTCATTGCAAAACACTTTGACGGAGAATATTTTCTCTACTGTAAACAAGACTCAAAATTTCGTAAAAAAAAAAAAAAAAAAAAAAATTTCATGTCAAAGACCTGCGTAAGGTTACTCAAAGAATATTGTAGAACTGCCTGATGATTGGCAACAAGTCATTGCCAATAATGTTAACTATGGTTGTATAGAACTTAGCTGTAGTTTATTTTTGAAGAATAAATTTGACAAACACAAACAGAAATCCGAACAAGAAGGAGAACCTGGTGCACGAGTCGGTGGCCTGGTAATGATCCCGAAAATCCTAGCAAAAAGGTCGTATCAACAGAGAATCCGGGAACGAATAAAGTCACTTTAATAATGTGACCGACAATTTGAAAGAGACAACAAGATACTGAAGACTAAACGATGGTGGGATTGGCTATCGATTGGCGACCTGAAGCGCGAAAGAAAGTCTACAGGTGAATATCTCAGACTAAGCCCTGAAAACAAATATTATTCAAAAGGGAATCTGCTATTTAGTGGAGTCGGATACATGCGCATTATGTGGGAAGGAAGTTGAAAACGTGACTCATATCGTAGGTGCGTGCGAAATGCTTGCCCAAACCAAAAGGACTTAAAGCCACGCCCCGGTAAGGTGTGTTTAAATCACCATTGTTGCCCCAAACAGGAAACATGGCTTTGACGTAAACGAAAAGAGATATAAACCGGAGACAGTTAAGACAAAGGAACAAGCAAAACTCTTGTGCGACTTCCGAATCCAAACCGACCGTAAGATTGAACATACGAAGCCGGACATAACAGGAAGTGCTCCCTTGGAGATGGTTGATGCGCAACTCTACGTGAGCGTCTCACAGCGCCTTCTTGGTCTCACGTTTTCCACTGACCTGAGGTGGAAAAACTACATTGAATCAATAGTTGCATTTACCGCAACGAAAGTTGGTTTTCTGTGTCGCGCCAGGAGTTTTTCTCGTCTGAGTCCATCCTTTACATCTAAAAATCTACCATTTGTCCATATATGGTATACTGTTGCCATATATGGTCTGGTGCCCCCGTTATTCCTCTCGAGGTTCTTGACAAAATCCAAAGATGGATATGTGATCTGTCCTGACTTGGCATCTCGACTCCAGTCACTTTCTCACAGATGTAGTATGGCTTCCCTCTGTCTTTTCTACAAATATTTTTATAACCGCCTCTTCTACTCCAACAGCTTCTTCTCTTGCACTTCCCGGCAGTGGAACTCCCTTCCTCTTACTTGCTTCCCTGATAACTATAATCTTCAAAAATTTTAATGTAATCTTCTAAAGTCTTGATCCTCGTTCTTTCTTTTATCCTTTTCCATTCTTCTTTTTATTTTTTCCTCAATCCCCACACCCTGTTTCTAGTCTTTTCCCTTACTTTCACTCTCTGTATACTAGTGGAATTCCCGCCTTGCGTGGGGTGAAATGCTTATAAAAAATGTTGTATACACAGGAGATCAAACTTTAGTTAAGAAAGCAGATAAGAAATCCTGTAGATATACAGATCTTCGCACTGACGTAGAACGCGTGTGTGATATGAGTACACCAGTAGGCCCTATCATCATTGGTGCATTAGACGCCATTCCTAGGACTTTAAATAGTAAGCTAGAAATGATTGGAATCGAGCTCCGTGTTTCAACCCTGCAGAAATTGTCATCCCGCGAAAGGTTCTCAGTATCTGAGGTCAAAGCGACCTGAGAGAAAGAACCAATAACACAAGATCGGTAATAGAATTTAATATTGTGCGAAATAACAATGATAATAATAATAATAATAATAATAATTCAGTCATGTATTTTCGATCGCTTAAGAGTAAAGAAATAAAGGACGTAAAAGGGAAGAGAAAGAAAAAGTATAAAGAACAACGGAAAGAAAAGAGGGCAATGAAAGATGATGATAAAGAGGAAAATTATTTTAAGAGAAAAGAAAGACAAGAAAAACAAAGAAAATAAGAATAAAGAAAGAAAAAGAAAACTAAAATTAGACGTAGAATGAAAAACGAAAGATGAGAAAAAACAACAATGGTAAAGTTGTATGATAAGAAAGAAAGAAAGAAAGAAAGAAAGCAAAGAAAGAAAGAAGATACATACGAATAAAATATAAAAGGCGTCAAAGAGGAAAGAAAGAATAAAAAATATAAAAAAAACCCCAAAAAAACAAAGGCGAAAAATTGAAGAAAGCAGACAACAAATATAACACGAGAATGAGAGACAACGAAAAATAAATCTTTTTAAGGACAGAAAGTTAAACAAATAAACAGTTCCAAAAATGAAAATATTAATTAAAAAGATTGAACATCCAACGCAAATTAAAAAAAAAAAAAAATGAATGCAGGATTAAAAATAAAAAAATTAAAACAATGAAATCAAAAAATAAAATATTTAATTAGTGTTTGAAAAAAAATTGAAAAAATAAAATCAAAATCGGTGAGAAATAAATTAAAAAAAAATATAGCTACACACACACACACACACACACATACACACACACACACATACACACACACAAAGAAAGGTCCCTTGGTTCTTGGTTAAAATCGTTACATATTTTGCAGTTGTGTTAGTCGTCTGTGTTTGGCTCCAGGTAGGAACCAAAATTTTGAAAACCGGTTTTCTAACCTGGTATACATTTTAAGTCCAGCGTAACACATCCTTCTCCATTTAAATTCTTCTCCCACAATAAAGTTATTAAACTGCGAAAGGCAAAATGCTCAATAGGAAAGCAATCAGTGCCAGAACAATGGAAAAGAAAAAAAAATATAATAAATGAATAAAACTGGAAACTGAAAGGATGAAAAGAAAAGAAATGAATGAAAAAAAAAAAGAAGAAAAAGCAACGGCTAAAACAATAGAAACAAGATTTGAATGAAGAAGAAAATCGAAAGAAATTGGCAAATAAAATAACTTAAAAAGATCTTAGAAAAAAAATCGAAGTTCCAAATAAGGGAAATAGAAAACAAAAGATATGGATTAAGAAAATAATCAATCAAGAAGAAAGAAAGAAAGAAAGAAAGAAAGAAAGAAAGAAAGAAAGACAAAGAGAAAGAAAGAAAGAGAGAGAGAGAGAGAAAGAAAGAAGTAAATAAACAAACAAACAAAGGAAATGCGAGTTGGGGAGAGAAAGAGTGTGTGAGAAAAAGAAGGAAAGAAAGAAAGAAAGAAAGAAAGAAAGAAAGACAAAGAGAAAGAAAGAAAGAGAGAGAGAGAGAGAAAGAAAGAAGTAAATAAACAAACAAACAAAGGAAATGCGAGTTGGGGAGAGAAAGAGTGTGTGAGAAAAAGAAGGAAAGAAAGAAAGAGGCGAGTAGAGGAGAGAAAGTCTGTGAGAAAAAAGAAAGAAAAAACAAGCGAATGGGAAGAAAGAAAGAAGAAAGAAAGAAAGGCGGAAAGAAAGAAAAAGTGGTTAAGCGAAATAATATGTGTGAAAAGAATGAAAGAAAGAACAAGCGAATTGGTAAAAAAAGAAAGAAAGAAAGAAAGAAACAAACAAACAAAGAGCAAGAAAGTGGGAGAAAGGAAGAAAGAGCGAAAGGAAAAGAAAGAAAGAAAGAAAGAAAGAAAGAAAGAAAGAAAGAAAGGGCGAGTCGGAGTGAGAGAAAGAAAGAGCGAGTGAGAAATAAAGAAAGAAAGAAAGTGGGAGAGAGTGAGTAAAAACAAGAAAATAAAGAAAGATCGAGTAAGAAAGAAAGAAAGAAAGAAAGAAAGAAAGAAAGAAAGAAAGAAAGAAAGAAAGATGGAGCACGTGAGTGGGCGAAAGCAATAAAGAAAGAAAGAAAGAAAGAAAGAGCGAGAGGGGAGGAGTGAAAGAAAGAAAGAGCGAGTGGGAGTGAGAGAAAGAAAGAACGAATGGGAAAGAAAAAAAGAAAGATCGAAGAGTGGGAGAGAATGAGTAAGAAATAACGAAAGGGCGGGTAAGAAAGAAAGAAAGAAAGAAAGAATGAAAGAAAGAAAAAATAAAGAAAGAAAGAAAGAAATAACGACAATGATAAATGGTGAAAAAGACTTAAGGAACCTTACAAGGAGAGCCACTCATAAATCTAAGAAGCCAAAAGAGATTCCATCTTTCCGAAGCCCGCGAAAATCGGCGAACGCGTGGTACTGACGTCATAATGATGGCAACGGGATGTAGATAAAGCGACAAATCAGTAGAAATTTGAAGAGAAGCAGACAATGGATCGATTAAAAAAAAAAAAAAATACCTTTTAGGTTTTTTCCGTTTTTTTTTTTTGTTTTTTTTTTGCCTATTTTTAACAACACTTTTTAATAAGACATGATGCTGGATAAAAATACGCCAGAGAAAATGAACAGGAGAAAAATTGCGAAATATCAAGAGAGAGTAATCTCTCTCTCTCTTTCGCTCTTTATATATATATATATATATATATATATATATATATATATATATATATATTATATGAATCATTCATACAAAAGACAGATATAGAAGTTAATGATTTAAATGGCGAGAATACATATTCGCAAACAAATTTAATCAAGTACATTAACCCCGAACCTGTAGATGAATGTTAGGATCACTGTTTATAAATTCCAGTTGCATAAGGTCTTTTTTTAGTTTTTTACAAGCTTTCGTCTGTTCCTACAGACATCTTCAGGTATTTAAATAGATTTGTTTTTGTTTTTTACTTCCTGGTAATAACAGGACAACAAAAATATAGATGTAAATGTTTTTAGAAATGTGTTATTGTTAATTGTTAGAAATTTTTTTTGAGCGTACGGTCGCAACGCTGAGGTTGAATTTTTAAATTTTAAGATTGTGCGTTTTTGTACTAATATGGTGATAGGAGAATTCTTTTTTACTGGTAGGTTTTTTAGTCAAGTTGGCATGAACTAAATTGTTCAATAAATACAGGAATGTCACAGTTATTATCCGAAAGTTGCACGTCGTATCAGTTATTTTAATATCAAGTATGTGCTGCACCACATACTTGATATATATATATATATATATATATATATATATATATATATATATAATTATTTCCCCACAAGCAAGGCAATAAAAGCACTAAGACGCAAGTTGTCACTGAGTGTGAAAGAATATGAGAAAAAAACACTATAGAATGTACGGTTATATCTAGCTATTTCTACTGTAACATGAGGCCTAACTGCCAATCTGGAAAGCTCACCAGAATAATTGGCACGAAAATATTTATAAAATAAGAGGCAGGGTAGCATCGTTACGTCTGAGAAAAAGTCGAGATGCCAGGTCAAGACCAATAACATTGCAGATTTTTCTTTGTATCATATCAAGAATCTCTAAATGTATAGTAGAAGCACCAGACCAGATATGACAGCAATATTGAATGAATGGACAAATAGTTGACTCATAAATATGTAAGAGAGATTGTCTAGAAAAAAAAAATATATATCGTAAAGTGCAGATATTCTGCCCCCGTTAAACTTAACCATAGTCTTTTCTAAATTGCGTATAATATACCCAAAAATATCCCACATTAAGCTTTGTCCGAGTTTTTGACTCACGTCTTTCATCTTCAAGGGTGTGTACAAGTAAAGTAAGATGTGCTGGGAGAGAGATATAAAGGGAGACACTGGAAAAGCAAGAGACAGATAGATAGATGGCAGACAGTGATAGATAGATAGATAGATAGATAGATAGATAGATAGATAGATAGATAGATAAATAGACTGAGAGATAGTGGTTTCCCAAGCGTAGCTTAGATGTGGTACAAGGTCGAAAGTATCGAGCACACAGTGTAGATCGAACTCACTATTTAATCGTTAATTGATCTAGCGAGACAAGCTTGCTAATCATTACACCGCCTTGAGCGCCCTAGTGATTTTCCAAGCATGGTTTGGATATGGCACAAGTAAGGGGTACCCAGTGAGGATCACTGCTCAGCTGTAATTGTTCTAGAGAGACTAGCTTGCTAACCATTACACCACCTAGAGGTGCCCTACGGAGATAGATAGATAGATAGATAGATAGATAGATAGAAGTCCGAGTGAACTGTGAAGGAAGAGATGCAAATGAGAGAGAGAGAGAGAGAGAGAGAGAGAGAGAGAGATGAATCTTGATAAATGATGTAGGCTTTGGTAGTTTCCTAAGATAGAGAGAGAGAGAGAGAGAGAGAGAGAGAGAGAGAGAGAGAGAGATGAATCTTGATAAATGATGTAGGCTTTGGTAGTTTCCTAAGATAGAGAGAGAGAGAGAGAGAGAGAGAGAGAGAGAGAGAGAGAGAGAAAGAGCGAATAAGCCATTTGCATGATTGTCAGAACACGTGGCAGCTTGGATGTTAATTTATCGCAAAAAGTAAGGACCAAAAGAAAATTCGCGGATTAACTTTAAAATCATTAACGAGTTAAACTTCAATAAAGCAAACGAATAGAAAATGGCCAGTCAAGGCTAAACCTTTTGCAGTGAGACAAAAGATAGAAAAGAGAAGCAGAAAATAAAAACATACAGAAAGGTTAAGATAGCCTGAAAGAATGAAAAATCGAGAATTAGACTCTTTAAGAAATGTGTCGAAATCACGCACCGTACGATCTAAGATTTACACGACAGTGTTCACAAATTAAGTTCAAATGTTTACTGTTCTAACATATTTATTGCAATAAAAACAGGATATTGGGCAAATGTTACCAATTGTGTATCGTTGAAAAAGATGCACTTGCAAATAAATAACCTCTTTAAAAAAAAGTGGGAGGTGGTCACGGGATTGGAAACACATGTATCTAAGCAACAACAATGTGGATCCGCTTCCCGGATAAATGTGATTTCAGTAAACAATACAGATAAAAATCAGGGGTTAAAACAATGTCTGTCTGTCTGTCTGTCTGTCTATCTATCTATCTATCTATCTATCTATCTATCTATCTATCTATCTATCTATCTCAGTAGGTTAATATCTATCTATTTATCTATCTGACTTTTTCTCTCTCTCTCACATACACTCTCTCTCTGCCTTTCACTCTGTCTGTCTGTCTGTCTGTCTGTCTCTCTCTCTCTCTCTCTCTCTATATATATATATATATATATAGATAGATAGATAGATAGATAGATAGATAGATGTATGTGTTAGTTAGATCCAGTGACAGGACCTAAAGAGTGTGAGTTCGATACCTGGTTAAGGCAATGGAGAACTTGAAAGGGGAATTAACAGGCGATAACTGATAACTGACATCCATTAGACATGGCACGTGGAACTAGAACAGTCTACCTCAGTGAGCGAAATAAAAGTTTCAGTTCGACATTCCAACCACCTGAAGAAGGCCGGAGCGTACAACGGCTGAAACGTTGTAATAAAGATGAGGACAATAGTCCGAATAATGTAAATAGTGTATATAATACCTCATCTCAGAAATATAGACAGATACTGAAAGGCCGAAACGTTGTAATAAATATGGCGACAAAGATGAGGACAATAGTCCGAATAATGTAAATAGTGTATATAATACCTCATCTCAGAAATATAGACAGATACTGAAAGGCCGAAACGTTGGAATAAATATGGTGACAAAAATGAGGACAATAGTCCGAATAATGTAAATAGTGTATATAATACCTCGTCTCAGAAATATAGACAGATACTGAAAGGCCGAAACGTTGTAATAAATATGGCGAGAAAGATGAGGACAATAGTCCGAATAATGTAAATAGTGTATATAATACCTCATCTCAGAAATATAGACAGATACTGAAAGGCCGAAACGTTGTAATAAATATGGCGACAAAGATAAGGACAATAGTCCGAATAATGTAAATAGTGTATATAATACCTCATCTCAGAAATATAGACAGATACTGAAAGGCCGAAACGTTGTAATAAATATGGCGACAAAGATGAGGACAATAGTCCGAATAATGTAAATAGTGTATATAATACCTCGTCTCAGAAATATAGAGAGATACTGAAAGGCCGAAACGTTGTAATAAATATGGTGACAAAAATGAGGACAATAGTCCGAATAATGTAAATAGTGTATATAATACCTCGTCTCAGAAATATAGAGAGATAATTTTCTTGGTTTCGGGTACACATAAATTATGTATTTTTGCTATGTCATTGATTTTATTAATGCTTTTTTATCCATAGTTTTTCGAATATTCATATATTTATTCATTTTCTTACAATTTGGCTTATATATTAAATCATTGCAAATGTTCGTGCCCGATTTTCATTATTAATACAAATTGGCGTTTGTTTTGGTAACGACTTCTGGTGTTCTCTTGATCGAAAGCCTTTCATCGAGTCAGATTTTGTTGTGATGTTGATGTTTTCCCTACAAATAGATGCCTTAAAGATGGCGGAAGAAAAGTTGCACTTTCGCCATATGATTATGCCCCATGAATTTCGGAATGGCGTAAGTGCCGGAATGGCAATAACAAAACATTGTGTCCTCTGACCTTCTTCGTCAGGCTCTTGTCTACGGGATTGATTGTTCTCGTTGCACAGCACATGTCTAGGGATATCTCGTCTAGGTCACTTATTACTAGTCCCTGTTTCTACTGAGTCGAAGTCTGGACTATGGCGATTTAAGCCGCAAATAATATCAATACAGGAAGAACACAGAACACAATTGAAAGTTAAAAAAGGAATATTATTGAAGTTTATATATACAAATACTATAAAAATAGTAGTTCTGTTTGAGGCTATATTATAATGAAACAATATACGTCCACTCAACTGAAGTCCTTAGTGTTTGTAGAACGGTTTCTTTTACGTACTCATATAGTACGGTTTTCATGTCAAAGTGCAGGTAGAAACAGAGAAGATATTAACAACCTGTGCCTGGCAGATCTTGGCAGAAAAGAGGGAGAGTGGAAGAACAGAATAGCGTTCTTTATAATTGGCGCCAACATATTCTAGCTAGTGATTGGTTGATTTGACGGTATACGTGATCTTAGAGAGTTCAGTTCACCAAGGACGACAACTTACGTAACATATTTTTCTTATAAGACTTTTCGGTCAAGTGTCTTAACAAATTCATGAACCAATTTTTAGGCTATTATTTAGAGACAAACACCTGAAGAAAACCGGAGTGCACAATGGTCGAAACATTATGACAGTAACAATAAACACAAATACATAATCTAGCTCATATTATCACAACGTAATCAAAAAAGGGTTGCAATTATTGATCCTGACCAGTCACTTTCTCACCGACGTAACGTGGTTTCCTGATGTCTTTTCTACAAATATTTTCATGGCAATTGTTCTGATGAGCTTTTCTCCTTAGTGACTCGACTGCACGAATTTATGCGTGTTACTAGATTGCCAATTAGGTCTCATTGTTTTATTGCTTAACCAGCGAGAGGAAACTATCAATTCTATTCTAATAGTTTCTTTTCTCGTACTTCTCGCCTGTGGAACTTCTTTCCGATATAATTCTTCCCTGCTACATGCGATCTTCAAACATTTTAAAGAAATGTCAATCTGCATTTTTTCTTCCTGAAACCTGTTTTTTTATTGTCCGTTTCCTCACGTCTCCTCACTAAAGTCTTCTCATTCTCTTTCACTCCTTGTAACCTTTTGCCTCTTAGTGGCATTATCGCCTTGCTTGGGGTAAAATGAATAAAAGAAAACTTCATTAGTAATTACAGAGAAGAGACTGCTAATAAACTGATTATCAATACTTTTACTTCCTGTTATTATTATTTTTTTGATATTATTACTTACATACAGTAATGGCTGGCCATTCGTATCCGAGTATGCCTACCTAGTAGGTCTTGCTCAGATACCTTTGTGTTTAACACCTGCACAGCCCACCTGTGGTTTAGACTTCAGCTATGCTGAGTGAACCCTAGTTACAGTTTCTGGGAGAGAGGTCATTGTCTGGCGTTATTAACAATCTGAACAAGGATTAAAATCCTCGGTCACAATGACTTGCTCAATCATCGACGGCTCACAACTATCTACCTAATTTCAGTCACAAGGATTGGGTCAACTCGTTATATGGTTTTCTGGTACTTTCCAAAGGATGCCCAGCTGGGATCGCCTCCCCCAGGCTGATAACATCAAGAAGACACCTTCTTGACAAATCGACACTGGTGAGATTCGAACCCGTGTTTCATAGTCGGAAAGCGAACGCTCTGTTATATACAATATTGTATAGTTAATAAATTAAGAATGATTATTGGGAAAATAAAATCAAACCCACTGCAAAATTGCATAAATATGAACATCGTTTTGTCATTCATTAGCCAAATTCAGCCATAATATATATATATATATATATATATATATATATATATATATATATATATATATATATATATATATATATATATATAAATCGTATGACCAAATCCATCTTTCAGTCTCTGGGGTCGAAGAAAAAAGTGATGCCACGCCACTGTTTGCGTAAATGTCGTTGTGTGCAGGCATTGGCTGAATTCATGACTGACGAACCAAAGTCGCCATAACAACGAGAAAGAAGAGCAGATGTTAGCGTGTAATCAGTCCTATGACGATTTTGAAGTGTCCAAGCAAAGGTTTCTGGGTGCAAGTCCCGGTAAAAAGATGACAACAACAGTTAATAATAATAATAATAATAATAATAAAAAACTTTTATAACTTAATGACGCATGACTTCACGGGCTGATTAAAGCAGTGTAACTCTTAGAAAAATAGATTCCTATCACAATGACAATGCCTCATATATATATATATATATATGTGTGTGTGTGTGTGTGTGTATTTGTCGAAGTATCGAAGTTTGGATCAGTAAGTTTGCAGTCTGCCGTTTATTAACTCAATTTTATAACATACGATTTCATTGTATAATGTCCGATTGATATTCAGCATTTAATTAAGTGCATTGACAAAGAATGTGATTATGTAAATATTTGTCGTATAAAATGTTATTTTTCCGCATATGACTAGGATCATTGATCTACCTACCTAACTACACAAACACACACGCATACACACATATATATATATATTTCTAAAAGGGAACTTCGATGTTGTGTAATGGTTAGCGAGCTTGTCTCGCTAGATCAGTTACGACTGAATAGTAAATTCGATCCTCATTGGGAGCCCCATACTTTCGGCATTGTGTCGCATCTAAGCTACGCTTAGAAAATCGTATATATTTCCAAAGAATTAATGAATATTTTTTAATCCGACATTTTATTATATCGTGGACACTTCGTATTTGAAACAGACGCCACATTACGTCTATCGGCCTGCACATTCGAGAAAGTAAAGAAAATGTGTCCTCTGGCATTGATCGAACCTGCGTCCTATGGCATGCTTTAATACGAATAAGGTAAAAAGTGGCTTGCTTACCGTGAAGTCATTCGTAGCCGAGCGCTAAAGAATGCTTCCACAATCAAAAGCATCTACGTAGCCTTGTGGGTGATTATTTTCAAACTTGCAACATTCGGGAAAGATATCAGAATAATCAAGAACTTATACTGGCAGCAAACAGCACGCATGCGCATAGGAAACGAGTTC